CCCCGTACCCTAATCTTTCCTTCGCCGTCGCCGGCCGCCGTGGGCCTCCGTCGCCGCCCCCTAGCCCCTTTAGAAGGACCCCCGGGACCTCCTCTCTCCGCCGCCACCCTCGCCTTAGCTCGCCGTCGTCTTTAGCGCCGCCTCCATGTTCACCTGTGCGCCGCCGTCACCGCCGCGAGTTCAGCCGAGCACCGCCGTCGCTCCGATCATCGTCATCGCTCAGGAAGGCCATCGTCGGGATCGCTAGGTCGTCGCCGTCCTCGTCCACCCCTTCATCGTCGCCGGAGATCGCCGGAGCACCGCCGTCGTCGTCGAACCGATAGTCGCCGCCGCTTCGTCCTCGTCGCCGTCGTCGTCCGGTTGCCGTCCGTCGCTGTTCGTGCCTCGGTAAGGTTCGCCGCGTCGCCCGCTACCCGTAGGTGCCGTCCGTTTGCGCCGCCGCACCGTCGTTCGCCGGCGAGCACGCGAGCCCGAGCCGTCGTCGGTGGTGACGTCACCGCTGACGGCATCGTCGCCGTTTCCGTAGACTCGGGGTGGATCGATTCGATCTCGGCCGTTCGTTCCGTAGACCGCCGCCGTGCACCCGGTCCACCGTGAGCCGATCCCGCTGACGCAATAAACCATTTTTTCTTTTCAAAAATAATTCATTATTGCGCCATAATTCAATTAAAATCTATATAAGTGATTTAATCCGATTTAATCTTTAAAAATTCATAACTATATCATCTTAGCTCGGATTTAGTTGGTTCAAGTCTCTAAATTTTTATAAAATTGAGATCTACATGTTAAAAATATCTACATGTACTGTTTATGATTGTTTATGTACTGTTTTGGTGATTTTGCTCTTTTATGCTTAGATTCTGACGTTCCCGGAGAGTCCGATTTTGCAGGAGAGGACTTTGAAGAGTTCCAAGGCTAGCAAGGCAAGTCACACAGATCCTAAACAACCCTTTGAGCATGTTGATCCCGTTTAAAGCTATTGTTTCTATTCAACTATTGCATTTATTTTTGAATGTCATTGGGTGGAAATAACCTATTGCCTTGTTAAAGCCCTTTTGTTATTGATTCCCTATTCTTTGTCACTTGGTTAATAATTTGATTAGCTAGAACATTATATGGTTTTAGCTAAAGTGAATAGGATGCTTAGCCATGCTTAGAGACACTAGCTCATATAAATGGGATATTTATGATTTACTATTATTTAATGATGGCTTAATGATAGCTCGCGATGGTTAATCGTGATGGGTTAATTAATTAATGTGCCAACTAAAACTTGCTAATGGTGGGTTATGAGCACATGGTTTTGATGGTCGTGCTCATGACAATTAAGGACCGGTTCATGATTTTCGGTTGTGAAACATTAATCGTGCCAACCACAAGCCAGCGTGGGCAACGGCTTTACCTTTTGTATAGTATGGTTCATTATGGGGCACCAGACTGAGAAGTGGCGGAGATAAGTCCACGGGGGTCGCTGGGGAGTCCATGCCTTGTTTTATAAGGGGGTGATTATGATCCAGGAATGGTGCTCTGTTTTGAATTGTATTATGCGGAGGGTATTGTCACAATCTCTATTCGGGTACTTGTTAAGTATCGCGACGCATGGTTGACATGATGTTGAGGTTGTGTCTTGTGGGTACAGTGGTACACCTCTGGCCAGAGTTTAAACTATTCGAATAGCCGTGCTTGCGGTTATGGGAGGGTCTAACAATGTCTTTCGTGATTAGTTTCACACTTCTCACCTTAATAAATGATGCTGTAATTGGTAATAACTTGTTGAGCTCCTGGTTTGGAATGGTATATTCCTAGTTTGGAGATAGAACTGTGCAACCGGGGTTGGTTGTTCAGAATGGTTGGGCCTATGCAACAGGGTATGTTGTATAGCGTTGGATTAATACTGTTTAATTAATACTTTACTGTTTTATTAAATTCTGAAATATTTATTAAAGGCTATTTATGCAAATGAGACTATACTATGCCATCCTTTGTTATCATGTGCACTTGCATATTTGTTGTGTGGCTTGCTGAGTATGTCATATACTCACCTTGCAATCATTCATCAGAGGAGGAGTTCTACAGTGATGCTGATGGTATGGATGATTAGGCGTAGCCTTGGTCAAGCTGCCTGTGGAGTGGAGTCGTCTGCGCCGTTTATCTTATTTTTTCCGCTGCTTAGATCTTTATTGATTGAGAGGAACTATCTACCTCTGTATTGACACTTTATTCGCTTATTAATTAGAGTAATAATTGTACTCTATTATCAATTTGTTATTGTGTGCCACGGCTGATTCCTGGACGAGGGTTTACACAGATGTAAGTGTTTGGAATTTTGGATAGAAATTCCGGGCGTGATAGACCTCCATCTATTACTTAATCCCGTTAAACATCTAACGACTTTCGACCAACTTAATTAATTTACCTTAACATGCATATGAGGGCTATGTACCTATACAAAATGACCTTGATACTTTTAAAATGATCTTTTTAGGAGATAAATAAATATTCATAAAAAAGATGATCATAGCATCCCAATTACACATTTGATTTATGAAGTCACTGATTATAATAGGTATTCATCTAGCAATATAGATAATAGGTTGAAAAAATAGGTGTGGCCGGTTGAACATCATACCGATAAGCATAAGGGTTTGCACCTAGGAATCTTAACAATGAAACAACCTTGAGATGGCCTTAGCAATAAATCAAGTCAATTCCATATAGGAATTAAAGACCATGTCCATTTTTTTCATTATTGGTAAAACTTGCTGCAATATATTGTAAAGTCTTGAGGTAGAACAATCTAGAAATGTGTATTTGTTACAAGACACTCCACTTTAGTGATGATTCGTTAAACACACTATGACCATTACTTCAATATTTCTTGAGAGATAAAATTAGAACGTATGCCTTTACCCATGCCATGTTATATGCACTTATATTTTTATTCCAAATTGCAAAGATCAAATCTTTTTAAGGATGATCCATAGAAAGAAAATCTCCAAGAAAAAACAAAAATAAAATAAAAATTGAACGAATGTTGCTGGATTTAAAACCCATTCTGAATAGAAAAATTCAAACATTTTACGAGCATTGTTAGAATGAAAAAATATATAAAAGATTAAAATACAATCAATCAAAGAATTGATATTATTGGATTTCTTTTTGGGTTGTAAGATATCCTTATGTGGAGTTAAAATATCCTAAATTTTCTTATAGGAACCATCTCCATTGTTTCAACAAAATATTTTCTCATCAATTCAAAACCGCATGATCTCATGTAATTTTATTTTAGAATTTATATGTTGCAAGGGTAATTATAAGAAAATAACCAACGTTCAAAGCACACAAAATAAGTTTAATTTTAGTTTAGAATATAATAAAAAAATATTTTAATAAAAAGTCATCCGCACATAAATATTCATAATAAAATTACACTCACTTATATAAGAAGATGCCCGCGCATGTGCGCGGGCTACCTTTCTAGTTGATATAGATGTTAATAAACCTAAGAATATATATGTGTCTAAATTCATTAACATCTATATGAATGTAGGTAATGCTATAAAGTCTTACAATATGAAACGGAGGGAGTAGTAAATAACTATGGTATGAATTGGCTATTAAATTGAATATAGATGATTTGGAGCTAGTAGTTGTCTATACTATTAAACTTGCTTTTAAAGGTGAGTTTGAGAGGAGAGGAAAAGAGAAAAATGAGAAGATACGCAAAACGAGGTGAGCCATTAGCGTATGATTAATTGAGTATAAACTATTTTAAACTTTAAAAATAGATTAATATGACTTTCTAAAGTAACTTTCATATAGAATTTTTTTTAAAAAAAAACACACCATTTAATAGTTCGGGAAGCGTGAGCGCGGAAAACAAAACAAACTTTCTCACAATCAAACGCTGCCGACAGCGCTTTGCAGCAGTTGCCGGTTCTTGGGCCTTAGCACTCATCTTATCTCTACTTTCCCAACTCACCTATCTCGTTTTCCGTGCGTACGTTTTTCAAATCGTTGAACGGTATGTTTTTTGAAAAAAAAATTCTATAAGAGAGTTACTTTAAAAAAATCATATTAATCCATTTTCAAATTTATTTTAGCTAATACTTAATTAATCATGCACTAAAAGCTGCTTCGTTTTGCACTCCCGAACACATCTACACCACCATGCGGCCAAGTGAACGGCGCTGATATGGCTCATCGTCTCTGTCACTTGACACTGTATTTGGCCTATTTCTTGATCGGCACTAGGGGCCGGCGGCGGAGGAGCTGGTGCATATGCTATGATCTTTGAAGTGGGCGGCACCAGTTGCGGTGCTTACAATGGCGATGGTGCGGTGGTGGAGGTGGTGGTCGGTGGCTGGTCGGCTGGTTTTGGCTCGGCAACGACCTTGTTTCGTTTGCCAATTCGGCTTCGGCATGTGTGTGGGTATGTTTCTTCGACGGATAGGTGGATGGCTCTTCGCGTCCATAAATGGATTTGGAGACGATAGGCAAAGGATGAGTCTGACATCAAAGTTTCTGTAAAATCAGAGTTTTTAAGATGAGTGGTGTGATGATGACTACAAGAAAAATTAGCTATTGCCATGAAAGTATTACCACGAAAAATTATTGGTGGCAATATATCATACTATTGCCACGATAAAACTTTTCGTGGCAAATAAGTATATTCTGTTGCAACGATGTATAATCATTGTAATATCTTTTATTTCCGTTGCAACAAAAATAAGCTATCACCCAAAAAAAAAAGTATCGTTGCAATAAAAACTAAACTATCGTAAAAAAAATCATTTTCCAACAACTCATGAGTTGTTGTTACACAAGTTCAGAACAAATTTGAAGCAAGGACATAGTAGAAGTTTCGAAGCTTAATCTTCTTTTTTAGTCTCTAGTCGTTTTCTTATTCTTTTGTGTTCCGTTACTGTGAGGTGCGGAGTTTAAGTACTCTTGTTTGTAACTTTGTATGTTCCCTTGTGGATATAGATGTTGGATTCCGATTAATTTTTCGTCATCACGGATATAACTACTATCTTATTATGTCGAAATACTCCATAACAATGTTGTTACAAATTAATTACATCCGCAAATGGCATATTAACTCAAAGTCTTCTAACCTGAAAAGCAAGCTAATAACGATGCACATGTGCTGATGTGCATATACCATCACGATCACAAATCACAATGGACGTGTGTATATAAGACCAGCCATGCATCTCAGATCATACAAGCATAAGCAAGCATGGAGGAGATCAAGACGGCGACGGCAGCAGAGGCGCCACCACCATGGACTCCGGCGGCCGCCGAGTACGGCATACCCGGCACTGACTTGGATCCACCACCTGCAGTCATCGCCGGGTCCATGCCAGCGGGCTCCATGGCCGGCGCGGCGGCAGTTGCCCCCGTGGACGGCGTCGCCGACGAGCCGCCGGCCGGAGCAGAGCCCGACGTCGACCCTGTCGCATCTGCAAACACCACGCCCGCCACGGCGATCACTCCATGCGTACGCGAGTTCAGTCCACAAGTAAGTATTGGCACGGCACGAACGAACGGCTTACCTGCGCAGGCATTGGGAGGCAGGTTGCAGGCGGTTGGGAGCAGCGACTGCACCCCGCCGAGCACCGGCGCGAGCGGGGACGGCGCCGACGCCACGGCGGCGCAGAGGCAGGGCGCCTGCGACTGGAACATGGCCCGCATCTGCTCGCAGCACGCGTCCGACGGCGTCGACGAGTTGCCGATGAAGTAGCTGACGCACGGCGACAGCGAGGCCTGCACCGGCGGGCAGCTCGGCGCGTTCGCCGGCTGACCGGGCGGCTGCGGAGGCTGCTGCTGCTGCTGCTGCGGCTGCGCCGAGGACGCCATGATCGCCGCGACCACCACGGCGAGTCCCAGCTGCCAGCTCGCCGTGAACGAGGTGCCGCGCCGGCGCCGAGCCATCGATCGATCCATCGTCGTGTTTGGCACACACACAATGTCACGTACGTGCCGGTTCTCTTATATACTGGTGCCGGGTTCGAGGAAAATTAGGTGATCATGCCAGTAGGTGCACTGCTCTATCTAACACAAACGACACCTTACATCGATTGATCATAAAGTTCACAGGTAGATTCCACTTTTCGATAGGACGTAGACGTACACTAATATCTTTTCCCAGCGACTTTGGTGCGAAAATATTACACTGTCCAGTTGGAGAATGCATGGATGGAGACATGCATGTCACTGCATCTACATGAATTAGCTGACAAAAGTCTTCCAAATCATAGTCAGAACATTAATTTTTTTAAGGAAACACATTACAAACACGGACACTCACATCGTGCATACATATCCCTATTCATATACACGGTGACGATTGATAATCCATACTTAGAGGTCATTTCATCATAGTGATTAATTTTAAGAAGACAAAAATTTCCAGTTGCAACAGTACTACAATGTTACTCAGTTAAGTAACACTTCAGATGTTCTAAATCAAAGCATAGTGGCAAAGGAACAAATGGATTTGTGTGTGAGCTTATATATGTAACCAGGTTTCATATTAGTTCCAACTTGTACACTTAGTTCAGAGAAAGCTCATAGGAACTAATGTAAGCAATTAAAAAAAATTGTGGAAATCAAACACCAGGAGTATACGTGTCTCTATGCATGTTGATACTCTAATTCCGATAGAGATGATCTTCACTACTTATTTCAGGGAACTCTCCAATCCAGCATGGTGTGTATGGAAAAGAAGCTTCTATGCCGCCCCCGACTTCCGAGACCTGATTAAAATTTTGAGGGAATATGCTGCCCAAGTCTTGCATCTTTGAGCTGTTTAAATGGTAGGCCACTCCTCTCTCGCATGACAAACTCAAAAATACAATTTCCCTATAAGGATGGAATCCAAGAAGTGAAATACTAACATGACTTTGCTCTTCAACACCATCTTGTGTATCATGATCAACATCATCGTTATCAGAGTACCATTCATATTTATCTTCCACCGGCACTTCATTGTTACCCTCTAGTAAGAGATCATCGTAAGTAACATTGTAGAACCACGGCCCACCAAAATTTTTACGATAGAGATCATAGTTAACATCGTGAAGTATCCAAGGTCCATTGACTTGATGATATCCCCAGCGTGACAACAAGGGCTTAAGGTTGTTTCTATGTTTTAATACCCATTTGGCCTTAGCACATGACTCATTAAGGATCCAAACCGAAAGTTGAAGGTCCAGCTCTTGCTCAAGTGATGCTAAGTATACCCCATTCTCTGATTTTCCAAGATAAAACTTTAGACACTTGCTCATGTCAATATCTTGTGGATTCTTGATTACTTTGTACTTTCCATCAGTCAATGATAGTCTATATAAAGTCCAAATAAAAGGGTGTTAGTAAATAATATACAGTATTGAATGACATTATTTTAACAGCCAAAGTTAAACAGAATGCATAGTTTACGTATGTATACCTTGTCACATAATTGCACCTATGCACGTAAAGTGCACCATGCCAGTAGGCAGCATAGTGTTGTCTAGAATAAAGCTTCACTAAGTCGCCGATGGTGCCTGCAGCCTCCCCTTCCCTGACAAATAACCGATCCTCCCATTGCTTTGTCGCCGACGAGAAGACATTCAATAGAAATGGTGATGGTGGCCATTCCGACTCCCTTATGATTGGGTCAAGTCTCATATTGCACATAAGGTAAGAGATCCTGATCACCTCGTAGTGCGGTGATACAGTGGGATCGAACACGATGTAGTTATCGCTAAAGGTACCCCGAGACGGTGGCAGTAGGGGCAAGGTCACGCACCGTCGCGTGGCCGGATTAACCACGTGGGTGTATAGCAGGAGGAGACCGTTGCAATGATCATTCACGGCGTAGAGCGCATATTTGTTAGGCATGTAGTCAAGCTTGCCGCTGATTGCAGGGGTCGTTGGCGTCGACGGGCGGGAGAAGAATTCTGGGAACCTGAGGTCATCGAAGTGGATGAAGATGCCGGCGAGCGAGAGCGGGAGGAGATCCGTGCGCAGCAGGCGGCGGTCGTCGATGGTGGCCCGCCAGGCCGCGCAGACGCACCGTGCGGCGGCGAGGCTGCGTGGTGGGAGGCGGCCGAGGACGTCAGCGAGCACGTCGTCGGGTAGCAGATAGTTGATCGTCATGCTTCTTGCTGTTGTTGGTTCCATTGGAATTGGAGATCGATCTGTGGTGGATCAAACATACGGCTATTGAGGTGCCGTTGTCGGTTTGGTCTGCCGTTTTTTCTCTTTTTAAATCTGTTTATCGAAACCAAATAGGCTTCGATCAGTCCGATCACAGGGCGAATCCGAGTCGAGTTGTCGGGTCCGTAATTCCGGACCGAATCAGACCGTTTGATTCACTATAAGATTCGTGCCGGATTCCAAACAAAAAATTAAACATCAACTCCAGGAGGGGATCCGAACTCTAGATTTCACCACGCAGTTTGATTCACTATAAGATTCGTGCCGGATTCCAAAAAAAAAAATTAAACATCAACTCCAGGAGGGGATCCGAACTCTAGATTTCACCACGCATGCACTACCACTACACTGCTAAATGGATTAGTACTCTATGTGCGAGTTACATGCTACTTATAGATAATTAAATGTAAGTTTTATTGTAAATATATTAGAGTTATATTTGACGGATTTTGAAGAAATTTTTTGTCGAAAGATATATAGATACTTCTACTTGATATTAGGGATAATTATTGCTTCCCAACTGTTGTTTTGTCCCTATTTTTTAGGTCTGAAATTTTACCTCTTTTTTTAAAAACGAAGCTGAGTTCTACCCTAATTTAGACTGTTGGTTTCACAGTGTTCATTTAAGAGCAAAAGGATATTTATGTCCATGGTTGTTGTTGCATTTTTATCCTTATTCTTTTTCATCTCCGGTTATTTTTTTCATAAAATTTCTTACATCTAAGTGCCGGTTATTTTTTTTCATAAAATTTCTTCCATCTAAGCGCCGACGACGAACTACGCCACCACCGGTGGGATGCTGGAGCCACCCGAGCCACCGCTTTCTCGCCGGAGACCCGCCGCCTCCCCTTGCTTCGATGTGCCAAGGACGAACAACACCGCCGCCGCTAGGCATAGTACAAATAACTGGACCGGAGGTCGACCCGCTCTAATTGTCGGTTCACCGGTCGAACCGTTGGGTCACCGGTCGAGCCACCGGTTTTTTATTAATTAATATTATATTTGATTTGCATTATTTTAAATATAGAATCAGCACAATTGGTAAAAATATGCATAAATAAACTAATGTATCTATTATTATATGGCCACAACATAAAAATATAAATGTAGCGTGGTAGCATAAAAAATTCATAAGGCCATAATGCTAGGACAAATTAAAAAACCGCTTCCATTTTCACCGGTTCCCATAAAAACCGTCCAATTCACTGTTATTTTTCCGGTTCGATTGCAGGGGCGGTCTTTTTGTTGAACAGAGCCACCAAGGTCACCGGTTTTGGTTTTTTCCAGTTCAACCGCCGGCCTGATCCGGTTTTTTGTACTATGCCACTAGGACACTAGAGCCACCCTCGTCGTTGCTTGCTAGCCAGAGACCAACCGCCACCTCGCGTCCGTGCCTCTATGCGTCGGGGCACGGTGGCCGCCGCCTCCCCTTGCTTTGACGCGCCGAGCACGAACGCCGTCACCGCCGCGACGGTTGGTCGGAGAGCCGTCACCTCGCCTCGAGTGCCTACCTCGGCTCACCGGAGTGCTTCTGTTGCCGCCACCAACAGGACATTGGAGCTGCCTTCGCCGTTGCTTGCTTTCTTGCAGCCTTGCAAGAGACCCACCACCGCCTCGTGTGCGTGCCTCGATGTGGTTGGGTGCGGCCACCGCCACCTCTCCTTGCTTTCATGCACCGAGCGTGTACGCCGCCGCCAGAGAGCACCTGCCGTGCCAACTGACTGGAGAACCGTCGTTGTTTCGCGTACCTACAACGACGCGTAGGAGCGTCGTCCTTGCCCCTGCCGCACGCTCTCGTCATCGCATGCTGCTGCTGCATAGGGATTTTGGGGAATCGAATGGGGATGGGAAAAATATATGGGTAGAATGGTAAGCTACTAAGTCATTGATCATTTTTGTATTTGTATTTCTTTAACTCTTTAGCGTGGGATCCACCTAACAGCCATCCAATCCAGGGGTAAACGTCTACTTCATGTTCGGAAAGCGGGGGTAAAATTACAAACCCTAAAAAGTGGGGGACAAAACAACAGTTGAGGCTGAAAGTAGGAGCATGGATACAATTGTCCCTTCATATTATGTCAGTTTGGGTTTTACTAACCCCATTGAAATTTGATGAAGTTTATATAAAAATATATCAACATTTATATCACCTAATTAGTTCCAATAAATCCATCAGCCAATATATTTTTGTAATATATTTATTTTATGTTGGAAATATTGTAATATTTTTATATAAACTTGCTCAAACATGAAGGATTTGACTTAGGACAAACCTAAAGTGACTTACACTTATAATGTAAAACAAAGGGAGTAATACAAAGGCATGGCACGGTCGTTCTCCTTCTCCTCATGTTCCCACCCATAAAAAATCCTATCCGGGCTAGCAGTTCAATCGTAAAAAAAAAAGATGGTGAAATGGTGATGATTTGGGACTAATGTGCTTAACTAGTTGTAGATAAGAATAGTCCCAAGGGTGAAATGATGATGACGTTGGCACCCCTCGAGGCGAAGCAAGAAGATGGCAAGAAGGCATTCCTAGTGGTATAGTTTTTATATTTGCATTTGAGTATAGGAATTCCTAGTGATATGTTTGTTTATGTCTCGGTGCTCAAAGTGATCTATGCAAGTGCTACCTTGAGAAAAACCAAAGCCTTAACCTAACCTATGAGTAGTTTTAGAGCTTGTTTCTGGTTGAGTTGGGTAGCCCTCTCAATAAGCTTTCCATAGAGTCCAAGTTTACCAAAAACGGACTCCGGAGCAAGGAGTTATGACTGTTGTTGTGAAGTGCTGTCAGTGTAGCTCGGAAGTTCTGGGCCCTGAGCCAGGAAGTTCCGACCCGATCTCTCTGTTTGGGCGAGGAGGGTGCCAGGAAGTTCCGGGTCTCAGGGCAGGAAGTTCCGGGCCCTGTTATGTGAGTAACGGCTAGTTTTTTGGGGGCTTAGGTTTTTAAGCCCCTCCACTCTCTCCTTTGTTGGCTGCTGACTTTGGGCAAGAATAGACCTATCCAAAACCAAATAGCCCCTCCCAAACCTCCTACCTTAGTGGTAGATCTTTGTGAGTGAGATTTGGGAAGAGATTTGAGAGATTGAGAGGTTGCAAGGTTGAGAGCTTGAGAGATCCACTCCATCCTTCGAGCACTTGAGTTCATAGCAAGCAAATCATTGTTTGTATTTGTTACTCTTGGAGGTTAAGCCTCCTAGACGGATAGGTGTTGCCCGGTGAGCTCCCAAGCTTGTGGTGAGTCACGGGAAATTTGTGAGGGCGTTATTCCACCTTCGAAAGGAAACGGAATACTCGGTGAGTGGAATCCGAGGTGAGGTTTAGGAGGTCGTCTTGGTATAGCAAGCCTTACTTGTGGTGTTCTTTTGGTGTTCAAGTTGGGGATCTTAGTGGTCACTTGAAACCAAAGAGAAGTACCTAGGGGTGTTGGCTTGAAGACCGGAGACCTCTTCCTAGGCCTTTTCTTGGTGAGGCAAGGGGTTAATCAAGATCCGGCTCTTTGGAGCTCCTCAACGGAGAAGTAGGATTCTCGGTGGAGAATCCGAACTTCGAGAAACAAATCGTTTGTCTCCTCTCACTCCCTTTATCTTTGTGATTGTGATGATTATCTCCTTATTTGCCTAGTTGTGCTATCATCTCTCCCCTTGTATGATCATTGTGCTATCTTATGTAGTTTCATGTCTATTACTCTTGTTTGATACATGTTGTACCTCTCTATGTGTCAGGGTTATGGATACCACATAACTAATAGTAGTCGATTAAATCTCAGCAGGACCCACCACATACCATGTCTTATACGGAAACAACCTTCGAATATAGGAGGAGTTCCAGATAAGGAAAGACAACCGGAGTTCTACATGGAAACGATAAGAACTACTCGGATTGTATCCATATTGGTTTTCCTAGTTCTACTTGGACAAGGGGACACCTATGGGTATAAATACAATGCCCCCTAGGAGGAGAGGGGACAATCAACATACCGGAACAATAGATCAAGACACAAGATCAACATACAAGCCAACATACACCAAGACAAGATGTCACCAGCTATCGATATCAGAGATATGCCTGGATCGACCCTATCCGGTACCTATAGAGGCCGGCCGTAGGGATATAGCGTTGTCTCTGATCTCGCCGGATGCGGATTCAAGGAAGAAGGCTACCCTGTTGTCGACTATGAGTTAGATCTTCAGACCGCCATGTCGACAACAGTTAGATAGGTTACCCCAAATATTGTACTGGTGTGATTATGGTGAATAAAGCGCAACACCGGCTTCGGCCAACAGGATGTAGGGCTATTACATGACAATTCAGGGGCCTGAACCTATATAAAAATCCCTGTCTCCATCTCTTTTATCTCAGTCTCGCATATATCCTAGTACCAACGATCCCCATATGTCACATCCTGATTTTTGTTTCAGGATTTATAAATTATTTAATAAATTATTATTAGAATTTATATTAAATGTTCATTAATTTATAAGTGAAGTTAAATGTGGGAAATAAAATTTCCTAAATTTAAAGCATGGATGGATCTAATTTTTATTAAATTCTCCATGATTAAGTATACTCTCTGAAATTTTCTCGGATTTTTCGGAGCTCAATTCCTAAATGATACAAAGAACAGTTCAGTAATTATTTGATCATTAATGATCTAATTATAATTGTTAAGAGCTTTTCTTGTTTAAAAATCCTTAAATTATAAATTGTTGTTTAAAAGGAATTATTAGAAATGATCTTAAAAGCCTAAAAGAGAAGATCTAATTTTAATTTGCTAAATATCAATATAAAATTGGGCTAGATAAAATTTTGTTAAATACTTCTCTTGAATCTTTAGTTCCTAGATTTTTCTGGGATTTATTTGAGCCAAGAAAGTATTTTTAATAAATGGAATTGCATTTCATGAATAATTTAAATTGAAAAAGGTTTTTAAAAGTCTC